CTTTCTTGTCCTCCCATCATGGGTGACTCTTCTGACTTCTTCCTTATCTCTTTGTGGGGGGCAGCCTCCCCAGCCCATCTGGGGAGCTGGTTCTTCGTGATATACTCAACTAGAGCAGTCAGGGGCCTCTTTGTGTGCCTGGGTCACAAAACTTAACAATTGCATAATGGTGATCATGCCCCTTTGTTTTCTAAACCAAGAATAATGAATAAGGAGGGGGAGGAAGAGAAGTAAGCATCTTGAGAACTGCAGCTAACAAAACTAATCACATGGTGAAAGGGCATAGTTAAATGGTGTTACTTTTTCTTCTCCTGGTCTCTGAATCTATGTTTTGGCTCTTTCTTCTTATTAAATCTTGACATTCACAAGAGTATCATGGAAAGTGTGTCCCATAGAGAATTTCCAGCCTCCATCCACATAGTCCTTGTCACCATAGCAGCTTCTGGGCAGGTCTCCTATGTTCCCAAAGCCCCCGTACAGCCTGTGATGAGGAGCTAGAAGTGCCACTTACAGAAGACGTTCCTCCCCATGGTTCCACTCACCCACAGCTGATGCCCCTTCTGTAGTCCGGCAGCTCGGGTTACAGATTCCTGCCTGATAGCTCCATAGAGCAGGATTTTAAAGCACCCAGGTCACCATTACCCACCTACAAACATTAGACTCCATTCCCTATGCATCTTGGAGCAAACTTCTTTTTTCTACTCGCAGCACTAGAAAAAGATAATTTTCCCCTGAAAGGCCATGTTGCTTATAGAAAAGCTTCTCAGAAACATGAAAAAGTTACAAGAAAATTAAGTGGCCATTAACTTGTTTTGGAAAATCAATCTCAAATGTTTTGGGGTAAAGTTTATGATGTGTTTTTTAAAAAACATATCACCAGAATTTTACAGGAAATCATGCATAACTTTCCTTCTCCCACTGGCTCCCAGGGTCTATACTTCCTAGGGGGAACATCCCTTGAAATAACTTTGAAGTCTTTGACTAATTTACTAGATAAATCCACTGTGTATAAAATGGCATCTTTATGAGATAATGAATTAATCTCTAGGTTCCACTGGGGCCTGGAACTTTGAGCTTTGCTATAAATTATGGCACCTGCTGCAATTCTGTATCACACACACAGGATGGAAACATTTTTTTCTGAATTGATTAACTGGGACTGAACTAACTGCCTGAAATATCTTCTTGAGGTTTTAAACCAATTATTTCTTAATATACTGAATATAAAATTATTTTTATGTCAGGTCATTTATACAAACATAAATTGAAAATAAAAAAACGAACTTTGCCACTGATGTTTGATAAAAGATGAACTTGGGAAGAAAAATTTTCAATATCAGACATGGTAATCTACTGTCATTAAAATCCACAAGTCAAAAAAATAAGCTACAAAGAAAAATACGGACAAATTATGACCTCTGTTTAAAATGACACATAAGTTGTTAGATGATAGCTGATCTAATTCTGGATTAGCAAAGACACATTAATTTTGCTGTTTCACTCCATAGATAAAGGAGGGTTGATTAGCACATCATCAAAAATAATAGGCTATGTTAACAGTGTGGGAAAAAAACAAAAAGGAAAAGAATAGTAGCTTTAGACCAAAACAGAAGCAACAGAGAGAACTTGCTTTATTTGGCATCTATTTAGTTAATGAAACATATAGAATAAAAAAATTAATCATGTTTGAGAAAAATCAGATGATAATCTTTATCCTGGGAAGTGTCTAAGATATTTTCAGTAAGAGACACTATCTTCTACTTCACAAGATTTACAATGTGCTTTCCTCTTCAGAATTATGGGTTTTGCTGTCTTCCGGGAGAGGGAGGAAAGCCCATTCAATGCCCCCAATATTTTTCCTGCATTATCTAATTTATAGCAGTAGGCCTGTGTGTGATTGCTGCCTACTATTTCATTTCATAGGATTTCTCCAAACCCCTTTGAGGGTATGACCGCAATCCATTATATTTTAGCCCCATCTTGAGAGTGTTGCCCATAGGTATGGGGTTAGAGGACATTCATTCCCCCAAAAATGACTTTGCCAAGTCTTACCACTTGCAGCTTGAACACTATCTTCTCATGGTTCCCTGTGTTCAGTCCCAGCTACCTAGTCAACCCTGTAGAAATGGATCATGTCTTCACATGTGTCCTCTGCTCTCCAACGTGAAATCTCTCATCATTACTGAAACACGCCTCTCTTTCACCCCCAAGGAGCTGTTCCCAGAATGTTCTTCTCCATTTGTTCCATTGGCAAACTTCTACTCATGCTTCAACACCCAAGTAATACCGGCTCCTCAATGATGCCTTCCCCACCTCCCCAGGCAAATCTGTTTCTCTGGCCTGCCACTTCCTTTTGCTTGCCTGTATCCCAACACATATACTGCAGTGCAGCCTGGCCCCACAGACTCCCTATGAACCTGCGTCATCCCGTGGCCCACTGCTCACAGCATCTGGCACACAGGAGGTGCTCTGTAAATGTTTGTCCTTCAAATGAGTGGTTGAAAAGAGACAGAGGGGCCTATAGGTCTAAGTTTTTATAATATTAGAAAATATTTTTAAAATAATTAAAATATTTCCAACTATTTTCTTACCATAAATTGTGATATTTAAGGCAGTCCGAGTTTGAATTACAGCATTTACCGCCAAGAGTTAATTGTTTATATCGTAACTCATATTGCGTGCTAAAATTTTAATTATTGTTAAGCAGTGAATTCAATTCTTTAGATGCATGCCCCCTCCCCACCTGGAGTGTTTCTTTTGAGTTTCTGTGTAATCATTTCATGGATGGTACATTTTGTTGAGTGGTAATTCTGCCAGATCCTATTTCTACCTTGACTTAGTCACATGTGGGCATGTGACTATGTGCGGGTGTGTTAGGAGGTGGGGGCTGTGAAGGTGATGAGGGGAAATGGTGGGTGTAGACAAAATGTACATACAAAAGGCAAGGTGCTGGAAAACAGGGGAGCCCAGGGGCACATACTCCTTCCAGATTGGCAAACCCCCTCTGTACTCTCATGGCGACCTCTCTACTTCCTGCACCCCACCTGACCCTACAGAGAGGGGTTTTTCGTCCATTACCCCTTTTTGTTTCTAGTGAGTTGATGTGAATACAAGGGTGTACACTAATTAGAAGGGCAGACTTGCTAAATACAGAACAATGATCATCTAGTCTGTGTCTAAGTCTCTTTGTCCAGTATTTATAATGAGATGCTCTGAACAGTACCTACAATTATTCTCCATTAAACGTGCTGTTGTTGATGACGCCTCTTGGTGACTGAACAGTCCAGGACAAACATGAACACTTGTGGGGTACAAATAATGGATTGCTTCTTTGACAGCAGATTGACATTCCTGGTGTCTCTATTACATGATCTGCTCCGATCCCATTCTGAGAGACAGAGACCAGATTTATACCCAGTGCCTCACCCAGGATTGTGCTCATTAATACAGATTAAAACAAAAGACATATAGGGGCTCCTAGGTGGCTCAGTAGGCTCAGCACCTGGCTCTTGGTTTCGACTTAGGTCATGATCTCATGGGTCATGGGACAGAGCCCTGCATTGGGCTCTGTTGGGCTCCGGGCTCAGTGGGGAGTCTGCTTGAAGATTCTCTCCCTCTGCCCCTCCCCCATTCGTGCATTCTCTCTCTCTCTAAAATAAAACTTTAAAAACAAAAACAACATATAGAATGAGCATGTGTAACACTCTCGCTTCCTACATCTGCCCCTAAACAGTAGTTGTTTTCCTTCTTCTGTGACCTCTGGACTCCTTCCCATTTTTGCAAATGATCACATCCTTAACTCCTTTATGACAGCTGTTTAACTGGGAAAATATTATTTCAAGGACTGGTGGGATTTGCTATGTTGAAATCACAGTGCTACCTATTCACATTAACTATTCTATTTTCATCATTCAGAGGTCATTTTTAGAAAATAGAATGTAAAGCATTTTATTTCATATGCTTTAAAATCTAATCACCAATTACTTCAAATGACGTATACGTTCAGCTCATGCTTCTGAGGAAAGCACGACGGCCTGCCTCTGCATTTGTTCCGTCATTGCTCATTAAACTGTGCCATTCCCTCCGTTAGGAGGATTAAAAGGTGGAAAATCTCCAGGTGCCACTAGTTAGGAAACTATTCCTGGGGAATCAATAGCCTCATTTTTCTTTTCCTCTTTTCATTTAAAAAATACTTATCTAGTGAAAGAGAAACATTTCTCGCTGCTGGTGAATATATTTCCCAGGACTTCATTAAACCAAGTAATAGGATCAGTGTTTAAATGATTAAGTAGATATATAAGCTTTTACAAAAAGAAAATCTAATTAAGATAGGGCTCACAGAAATCAAGACACTAATAATTAACCCAAATGACTACATAGGTCTATAAGAGGGTTATGCAAATGTGAGGCCACATTATTATACACAAGCAATGATGCAACGTTTTGGTGAGTTTTAGGGCTAGAAGTATGCAGCGTGCCCTGCCTACTTGTATGTAATACAAGTATGTCATACATACTGGAATAAAACTACTTTTTTCCACTCATCTTTAACTTTTTATAAGCTCTCTGTACTGTTTCAGAAGCTAGAAAACAGGCCAACATACCTAGAGTTTGCATTCCTGGTGACAGATTATTTCAACCCAGCAAAAAAGTCTCGCTCACATTTGCCAATAAGCACGAGGCACACAGAGGACCAGTACACAGTGTTGCATTGCCAGTTGGCACTTTGGCATCTGCCCACAGCATTCTAAACTCTTTCCCGTTCGTAACATGCCTGAAAAACTACACATGGAGCAAAAAGTTTGATAAAAATATATTTAAAACAAGCAAGAAAAAATAGTTTCAGCCTTAAGGATAACTTTCATCATTCTTTTAACCAACCAAGTAGAGTTAAATTATATGTAAAATGATTTCAAGTACCAACTTATAAAAGATGTGATAAATCAAAAAACAAAGAACCAGAGAACCCTTTTTTTTTTCAGAAAAATGTATTTGCAATTCAAATGTTCATATAAAAAGCATAAATTTTAAAAAGTTCATAGATGTGTGTTTTTAGAAGTGCTATGGTTTCACCATTCATTGCAATTACATTCCAAAATGTGCAGGGTGGTCTACACCACCCTGCCTTACACTTGTGTCACACAGAAGTCACTCTCATCACAACCTCCCCTGAGCTATTATCTTCTGACAAATCTTCATGGGGCCTCATCCGATTGAACAGATGCAATAACACATAGCCACACTGAAACCTCGGGGAAGTTAACTGTGTTGGGTGGACCAAGTTCCTGTTCCGCAGAGCCGTCAATGGCAACCATAAAGTCCTGCTTGTGGAAGACTCTCCCCGGCTACTTTCTTCGATGTCTGTGGCTTTATCATAATTTAGTACATCCCAGTGTAAGTTAACAGCTCGCCAGCGCTTAAATACTCTGTAAACTGCAGCTCCTTCATGGACAATGAGACCTAAAATTCAAGGAAAAATAAAAAAAGGCCAGTCATAATCAAAAAAGTTAAGAATGTTATTTTGTATACAAGTAAGGGATTGAAAAAAAAATAGTCAATTCTCTGTTCCTTGTCATCGTCAAAAAACATGGTATCCTGACTTCTCAAATGTTATGGCTAATGGTAAACTACTTTCCAGATTACACAGGAATAATCAATATCCAAAGAATATGAATACACTAACATGCACAAAGCAAAGTTCTCATGAATATAATTAACTTGCACCATCACGGCTGAGAACATACCTTGGGCACTTACATTGCCTTAAGAGAATCATTAGGTTTATTGATTCATTCATCATCTCTTTGAGTGCCCACTGTGGGCCACACAATGTGTTGGGGACTTTGGTATCGACTGGTAACTTAATTTAGGAAAGAGACAGATATTAAAATCACTACCATCTTCCCAGTATCTGACACATAGAAGGTATGATACACCTTTTTCTTACTTTTACTCTCTTCAACAATCCAACAAAAATGTATTTAGCACCTACTTGAGAGTTTCATGTATATTACCTCATTGAGTTTTCATTATGAACACATCCAGCATTTTACAAACAAGGAAGGAGCTCAAGACCAGACAACTAGCAGCGGGGGAGGAGGGTTTCAGACCCAGGCAGCCTGGCTCCACAGTCCTTGCTCATTGCTGCTATATAGTAAATTGGATGATTACACATTTCTGAGACAGACTCTCAGGAAAATAAACAAGGTAATGCAAGAACCTCAGGGACCATAAACCGGCAGTGTGTAACTAGGATACATGGCTCCATCTCTACCATCCAGCCCAGATCCCGCCACACCCTGCATTTTTCACACAGTTATTACACTTCCGCATGTGGTCCAAGAGCTTTTGAATTGATGACTGCTCACAAAAAGAAATTCCTTGGGGGAGGTCCCCTTCATTTGAGAAGTGAGAAGAAACTCTTCTCCTTCAGGGGGCTGAAATTCCATTGAAACTCAGTAAAGAGATCAATAAGAGTCTTTTCTTAGAATATGGTTTCAGCTCAAGTCGTGATCTCAGGGTCGTGAGATTGAGCCCTGCGTCAGGCTCTGTGCTTGGGCGGGGTGGGGAGGGATCTGCTTAAGATTCTCTCTTGCCCTCTCCCTATGCCCCTACCCCCCTTCTCTCTCTCTCTCTCTCAAATAAATAAATCTTTTAAAAAATGTTTATTATGTAATTGTTCATATTTGAGGGGGAAAATCCCAAACAATCTTAAAGTACATTCTGAGAAGAATGGATAAACTGCATTGTGTGAATCAATGATCACAGCAACACAATTGAAGGGAACAAAGTCACATGCACTAAGATGGATAAATCTTAAAAGAGCAGAAATCTCAAAGCCACATTAAAAAAAAAGAAAGAAAGTTTCAGAAAGAAATGACTGGGGTAAATCATTATTAATTAAAAAGTCAATAGTGAATCTATGTAAAAAGTATAAAAACATGCATAAAAATAATAACCATGAAAGGCATGATAGTGGGGAGCAAAGAAAAGAAACAAGGTCCAGGAGAGGCTTCAAATAGGCCATTCGACTGTATTTCTGATGTCACATTTTTTTATGCTGGGGGTGAAGATGTGGCTGTTCAACATATTCTGCATACAATTTTTTGTGCCTGAATAATTCCTATGTTAAAAAATTACAGAGAATTAGGAAAATTTATCTAAGATGTATTGAGGCATAGACAACTCAGGTAGTGGAGACAAATAGGGAGGTTACCACGTTGCATGTGGAGAGCAGAGTGGAAACGGTAAGGAGAATATAGAGGGACAAAGTAATACACTTGTCAGATTAAAAAAAAACTGACAGAAATAGTAATGCAAGAAGCAGGAAGAATCAGAGTCTCATATTTTTAAGGCTGCATGAAGGGGTGATTGAAAGGATGACAGTTACCTTCCCATAGGCACAATGAGTAAGGGTTTTGAACATGGTTTTGTTGGGAGGATTACTTCATTTTTTTTGTCAGCTAAACCAATGGCAGGTAGGTGATGGGGATACCCAGTTTTTTAGACGACACAACTACCTAATACCAGAATTTAAGTTTTATATCATTCCCTTCCCAGGGGATAAACTTCTGACACTTGTGACCTAAAAGCATTCCAAGGATGTGAACATAGGCCACTAAAACATGCATGTGGCCCAATAAATAAAAATAGATAATTGTGGAACACCACCAAAATAATGAGAAGGAATGTAAACTCCTGTTAATCATAGCAATTGCAAATAATTGTTTTGATCAACTTCATTTTCCTAAGGAATAATTGACACTACTGATCAGATATTTTTGGGAAACGGCCAGAATAAGTAAAGACTACCAGATTTTAATTGATGATTCTATTATTAGCCTTCCGAAATCTCTGTGGGCCATGATTTAACTTTTCTGGCTCTATTTTTCCTCATTAAAACACAATCAGAGTACCTAATCTATACTTTCAGCAAGACAGTAAAAAGATAAATTGAAGTTCATCAATTATAAAGCACTCAAATTTCCTCGGGATGGCAGCTCTATAAGCACAGGACATTATTATTAATTAAAAAGTCAATAGTGAATCCATGTGGTGAGAAACATTCACTCACACTAATCGCAAAACCATTACAGCTTGCAACAGGTTCATTCTGGAGAAGTGCAGTGATGGGGGATGGCTTCACCCCAGGAAACCACTCACTTCACAGGATCCTATTCTTTTTTTTTATCCATTTCCTTTAAGAGGCCAGAAATCAGATCATTTACTAGAGCTTAAAGTCATTTTCTGGGAATACATTCCTGGTAGCCCTTTTCTAAATACATAAATCTACCCAATGTGCACAAATAAATCCCACAGGTCTTTATAGTACATTTTGAACGGAATTTAGAGAGAGAGCTACTTGAAGTTTTCATAAAGACAGAGTCCTCTTGAATTTCCAGCTCCGTGTGCTGCTTCTTAATTGCATTTCAAGTTACAAATGAGGCTTAGATTTTGTTTTATTCCCCATGAGCGTTCAGAATTACTCCTTGCCCTTTAGAAGCTTAAATTTTCCTGAAATAGGAGAATGCCACTCCACCCCAACGTTGTCCTCTGGAAGGTGCATTTTCCCCTTTCTTCTCTAAATCTTCTAGAATCGTAGCAAATGCCTTTTGTACTTGAGGTAATGAGAACATATGGCTACTCCCATCATTGAAATCTAAGAGTAAGGATTCATTTGACTTTAGCCCACATGCTGAAAATCCAACAATTAAAAATCATACTGCCATACTTTCTTACTGACAATCTTGTCTCCTCTTGTTTCACAACCGATAAACTCACTTCCTCCAGTGGCTTCACTCTCTGAATAATACCTCAAATTAAGCATTAAATGAATTTGTCACCTTGACATTTCAGGTCATATAAGAACAGGCTTAGATTTATTCTGAGATTTGGTTTTTTTTCATCTGAGTCACTAGACCTGAAAGGAAAAGCGATGATAATTTCTATAAAATGTAAATATTAAATATTTTAGGATACTTGCTACATTATTAATAGCATGGGTGTCAACAAGGAATGATTCATAGGAATTTGGGGTTTTGAGAGTTCAGTAAGTATGTGTGTATATGTGTGGTTGGCTGCTTTTTATCATTTCCCTGCTTTTTATCATTCAACATTTAATTGGAGCATCCCCTTATTAATGTGCAAAGGAACATTTTTGTTAGGGAACAATCTTATTAAAAAAGAGCAAGTTTAAATGTTTCTGGTTTCACTGAAATAAAAGCACAGTGTTCATATATAGGTAAAATATATCCCAAATTTGTAAGTGATGTATTGGTTGAAATTCTTATATGATAGTAGAAAATGAATTAATTACCCAAAGAAATGATGGGGGAGATTATCAAGGTACATATGCTCACGTGTGTGCACACACATGCCACTTGTCCATGTCTATTTCAATACAAACAAATGATGTGTTATAAAGAACAGAGACCTGTAAAATTTATACTCAAATACAAACACATTTTGGTATTAACAACCAAACTACTGATCAAATAATTTCATTTCTTGTGTTACCAGTCTCAGCTCTTGTTCAAATAGGTTTGGTTGTTTTTCAAAACTTAAATTTTTATCAAGGTTCTATTTTGTGCCAAGCACTGCACTAAGTGGTTTATTTGCATGATTTTCACTTAAGCTTGACAGAGACTCTACAAACAGATACCATGATTGAACAATTTCATGGTTGAGGAAATTGAGACATGGAGAGATTTAATAACTGTCCAACATCATGAAGATGTAAGAATAAGACCAGAGATTGGAGCTCAAATATGTCTACTTATAAACCTTGAGTACTACAGTCCTATTCATGTTAAATTTTCAATGGTAAGGCAGTTTCTCTTAGTCATAGAATTAAGGCCAACTAAAAGAGTCCTTGCTATGGACTGAATGTTTGTCTCTCCAAAATTCATATGTTGAAGCCCTAATCCCTAATGTGATGGTATCTGGAGGTGGGACTATTTTAAGTCATGAGGGGGAGGCTCTCATGATAGGATTAATGCCTTTATATAAAGTGGAAGAGACACCGAGGAAAGGCCATGTGAGGACACAGGAGAATGACAACCACCCACAAACCAAAATGAGAGACCCAACTAGACTGAACATGCTGGCACCCTGACCTTGGACTTACCAGCCTCCAGAACTGTAAAAAATATATGTCCTTTGTTTAAGCCACCCAGTCTGTGGTATTTTGCTATAGAGGCTCGAACAGACGAAGACAGACCATGTAGATCTACATCACCCTCATTTAAACTATGAGTAAATAGAGCCCTGGAGACTGTGATTTGAGCAAAGTTAGATCATAAGCTGCCATTTTTAATATCCTTGTGTGTCACTGACACTGTTATATCTCTAAGAGGCCCAATGAAACAGCCCCTTCCTCCTCTCCCTACCCACAAGAAGAAAGTTGTTGAAGGCAACACTAAAAGTGGTGAGAGCCTCATCCGGGAAGCTGCACCCACCCT